CATCATTGCCTGCTGGTGATTGCACTAGGTCTTCAGCCTTTTCCCTTCCATGGAGTTGGGCACTGGGGTGTGATGGCTCCTTTACCACCAGCCCTCCCATCTTCAGGGACTTTCCAGAAGTTACCTAAATTCAGGTGTGGTTTGAAAGGGAATTGCTGTGGATAACATAAAGTGCTCCTTTTACCTTTTATTATATAGATAGTTATTTAAGCTAATGGGGGACCAATAATAAATGCAACACAGTATGTTCTTACCATTCTTACCACTTAGGAAATTGCAAGGGTTTTAGGATCTGTGTGAAGAACCACTATATATATGTATGTATGTATGTATGTATGTATGTATGTATGTATATATATAATTTCACCAAACCTCACCCAAAAAAAGTAGTGTGTAAAACAGTGATTTGGGAAAGTTAAATCACCTGTTAAGCTTATTTATTTTAATGCTAAAGCCCGAACCAAAAGGGTTTATTGTTGTTATCACACAGAACTAGCTTCTGTAGAATAAATAAGTTTCAAATCTGCTTTTTTCAGTTGGTTTATCTAAATCAGGGTCCCTACAAGATACACATTATTGCATCTCTTAAGTCTCGGTTTTGGGGTTTTTTTGGGGGGGGGGTTGTTTTTTAGTAAGTTTTAGTGAAAAACCATTCACATACTATAAGGGCTGCCACTTTTTAAAATGTACAGGGTTTTTTTTAGGATATTCACTATCAAATCACAAATTATTTTTACCCAAAAAGAAGCCCTGTACTGGCACCTCTCCCAGTTGTCTGGGAATATGCAGGTGTTTCTTTTCACAAACCTCTTTTCCTTTGAAACCAGTAGTAGCAGCTCTTCTGGCCACCTGTGATTATGCAGCTTCCTCCCTTTTTTCTTCCTCCTTTCCCTAGTTAACCTGCTCTTTTAAAATAAAGAAACCTTATACCTATTAGCAGATATTCCCAGATCTCTCTTCCCTTCAGTATCCTGCAACTACTAACCTACTTTCTGTCAATACAGATGTGCCTCTTCTGGATTTTTTTATAAACAGAATCATAAAGTAAGGGACCCCCCCATGTGTCTGACTTCATTCGCCCACCAGCGTCCTCCTCACATGTCCCTCTCGGCACCAGCCTGTCATTCCTTACTGTTGCTTGGTAACGCTGTTTTGTGCAGACACCACGTTTTATTTATCCATTCATTGGTTAATGGGCATTTTTGGCTGTTTCCACGTTTTGCTATTATGAATGACATTCCTATGGGCATTTGTGTGTGAAATTTATGTGGAAGTCTCTCATTTCTGTTGGGTATATTCCTAAGATGGAATTCCTTGGTCATAGGCAATTGCATTTCGCCTTTCTAGGAACTGTTAGGCTCTTTTTCAAAGCAAGTGCACAGCCCCCTTATATGTTTTTACCAGCAGTACACAAGGGTTTCAGTTCCTCCGCATTCTTATCAATACTGTTATTTTCCTTTTTAATCTTTTGAGTTTTCTTAATCCATTCAGGTGAATATGAGGTGGTATCTCACTGTGGCTTGGATTTTTCCCGTACTGAGTGGTCATTTGCATTTCTTTTTCTTCATACCCTTTACCTATTCTCTTTCACAAAAGTTGGCTTTTGTTGTTGAATTATGAATTCTTTATATATCCTGGGCACTAAATTTGATCTGTAAATATTTTCTCCTATTCTGTGGGTTGTCTTTTCACTTTCTTAATAATGTTCTTTGACCTACTAAAGTTTTTCACTTTGTGTGTGTGTTTTTGTTACTTGTGAATTTGGTGTCATCTGAAAAACCATTGCCTAACCCATGTCACAAAGATTTAGACCTTCTTTTAAAGGTCTCATAGTTTTTGCTTTTGCTTTTTTTTTTTTTGTAGTACTGTTTTGCATGTGAAGATCCTACTCTCCTAGGACTGTTTTGAAATTGTTATTGTTATTTTTCCCAATTGAACTGTGTTGGCACCCTTGTAAATCAATTGGCATGATTGTGTGAGTTTTGAGACTTTCAACTTGTTTCCATTAATCAGTGTGTCTGTCTTATGACAGTATCACACAGCCTTGATTACTGCTGCTCATCATAAGTTTTGGAATCAGGAAATTGTTGGCCTTCCAGCAATGCTTTTCTTTTTCAAGTTTGTTTTCATTATTCAGCATCTTTTTTATTTCCACATGTATTTTAGAATAATCTTGTCAATTTCTGTTTTTTAAAAATGCCAGTAATGCCAAGGTTGAAAATAATATTTCTAAAGAATGGGTGGGTATGCTTGATTTTGATGCAGGTCACTTCAAATAGATCAGAACACTATACTAAGAGAGTGCAAGGTAATTGAAATTTAGTCATTTTCTTTAGTTTATATGCTCCAAGAGCTCAGTCAGAGGCAAACATTTCAGCTAATTATAAAAGGTACAATAATTAGGTCTGGTATAAATCCATCACTACTGGAAATACATCTCAAAGTGTGGTGCAGGTCTATAATCCATTCCAAGTACTAGCTCTGCTCACTGACCAGTTCTAACTAGATTGGGATCAATTAATAAACTTGACTAGTGCATTATTTAGACTATAGTTATCAACTCCACATTTTTTTATCTATTGGTAGACATTCAGTGAGAAGCCAGTCATTCTCCATCAGTATCCATGCATACCCTCTTATACTTACCCTTTTTCCTTTTCCCAGTTACTATGCAAGATCATGCTGGTAATGTTGGAAATTAATAACTGACAAAGTTGTTCTTCATGGTTGCTTCTCATGGAGTAGTTTTTCGTGTATGTCAGTGAACCCTTGTGAGCTTTTTCTAGACTTGACAAGTTAATCTACCCTGAACAAAAGCTGCAAAATATTAGTTTGTTTGCAAAGAAGAATTGATGGCAATATATACCAATTCGGACTTTCGTGGTAAAGTATTTCTCTACAGATTTACCTCAGACCATCACAACAAACAAAGATTTGAGAGTTGAAACTACATAAGTCTAAAGTCCTTAAACTTCATAGAGAAGTTTAGCTGAAATTCTGACCTTCTGATTCTAGTCACTTAACTGTGAAAGCAATCTATAAATGAAGACTGTATGAGAAAGGTTATTTCGACAGTTTGAATAAAATAATGTCTTATGTTGCTTATTTGTATTATGGTACTACATTCACGTTAGTACTTTCATAGTTTTATTAGCCCCCCACCCCCAAGAAAAAGTAGAATATAGATTTCTCAGCTTTTTTTCACTTTTTATAGAAATTTCATGTTTGGGAGTATGCACATGTCAGAGGAAAAAGAAGCATTTCCTTCAGATTCAAACTGCCATTTATGAACTACTTGGCCTTGACCTGGTTAGCTTTACCACCCAAAAAGAAGGGGAAGTATTAAATGAAAGAGTCACAAGGATTTAATAAGATAACGATATAAATGAATGATCATCAGGAAGGATAAACGTTATTTGATGACATTGATTCATTTTAAGTAGATCGCAAAGTTTGGAGTCTGTCTTTTGTTCCTCTATTCCTGGCCCTGGGGAGCACTTGATGTTCTGGGTTCATTTTCCTTCCTTGTAAAATGGCTCTTGGTAATGGTCTCCTTGTATGATGTAAAGAGGAATTAAGACATAGTTTTAAGAAGAAGCATGCAGTGCCTGGCAGTGCATACCAATAAATGAAGGCAGTAAACACTTAGATTACCGAGTGCTGTCAGACGAAATGTACCTGGTCTCTTATACCGTTATTCTGTCTGGTTGGTGAGAGTCACACATAGAGTGTGATAAAGTTCTAATACTGTCCTATACTAATAGTAAATATTTTTGACTTATTTAATAATGCTACATCTAAATAATGATGCCCAGAAGGCATAAAAACTGATAATGCAAATAGTATATTTGAAGAAAAATTTAAGTGTTTTATCCTCTTTCCCCTGCTTTTCAGCGCACTTCACAAAGTGCGTAGCGAGTGAGGGGACAGGGCAAGGTTGGAAGCAGGGAGCTGTGAGTGTGGTGGAAGAGGCAGTGGCGAGGATATTAAAAGACTGTGCATGACATCTTCAAACAACTAGCAACAACAAATGTTGGCGAGGATGTGGAGAAAAAGGAACTCTCCTGCATTGCTGGTGGGAATGCAAACTAGTACAACCACTATGGAAAACTGTTTGGAGGTTCCTCAAACTGCTAAACATGGAGCTTCCCTATGACCCAGCAATCCCACTCCTAGGTATCTACCCAAAAAACACAAAAACACTGATTGAAAAAGATACTTGTACCCCCATGTTTATTGCTGCTTTATTTACAATTGGAAAAACATGGAAGCAGCCCAAATGCCCAAAAGTAGATGACTGGATTAGAAAGATGTGGTACATATATACAATGGAATATTACTCAGCAACCAAAAAAGAGAAACACATGTCTTTTGCAGCAACTTGGATGGAGCTGGAAAAGATCATGCTTAGTGAGATAAGCCAGAAAGAGAAAGAAAAATACTGGATGGTTTCACTCATAGCAGGAGTATAATGGACCAGGCGAGAAAATAACAAAAATAATGAACAACCATAGACCAGAGACATTATGTGGGGGTGGAGAGGGGAATGGGATCAAAAACGGGGGGGGGGGGGAAGGGGGGGAAATGCACGGGACTATGGTGGTGGCACAGGGGTGATTTGGTGATGGGAAACCCGTGGGGATTACAATTGAGATGAAAAAAAAATTTTGAAAATTGTTTTAAAATTAACTTTTTTATTAAAAAAAAAAAGACTGTGCATGTAAGGCATGAAATTTGATAAAATAGATCGTTTTTAATGATTTATAGAGGGTGGTCCTGAGGGAAACTGGCATATTTTTGTCTTTTTTAGCAACAGGTGCATGTGGAGAATATGACTGCAGCTAATGGTAAAGCTTGGTGCCACTGCCTGAATTCTGCCAGGATACCAGCCGCCTTCGCTTTTGCACCATGAATGCAGGTGGCAACACAGTGAAATCACACTGAATTTTTAACGCCCTATTTCAAGTAACCAAACTTTGTTCTCCTACTTTTGACTGCAGATCCTAACTATCTCATGGCTAACGAACGCATGAATCTGATGAACATGGCTAAACTGAGCATCAAGGGCCTGATTGAGTCAGCGCTGAACCTGGGGAGGACTCTGGACTCTGACTACGCACCTCTTCAGCAGTTCTTCGTAGTGATGGAGCACTGCCTGAAACACGGCCTGAAAGGTAGGCATGGCCTCAAAATGCGAGGGTGCATGTGACTGTTTCCTAGCAATATGTGCACCAAAAGAAAACATTTTTTGTGGTGCTAAAGACTAAGGTTTGTTTGCATTAATAATAACCCACTGGAATGCAGCATATATGATCACAAGGATATAGTTCATTTTAAGAATCTGAGGGCTTAGAAAACAAATATTATTACATGCTAAAAGTAGAACAGTGATTACATGTGTCTACTCCAGATCAGCAGTCCTGTTTGACAGGTGGAAATAGGTCTAAAATGGGATGTGCCCTGGCAGGGTCACCCAGTTGAGGGGGCGGGGGGTGGGCTCAGCTAGTGCTAGAATTCAGATCTCCTCTCCTTGCTCCCGGCTTGATCACTTTTGCTTCCTTTCCTCTCCCTTTCCTAATATGTGTGATATGTGTCTAGGTTAATTTTGTTTTCATTGAACTGTTTTCTTCACTACCACATGGCTTTAAGTGCTATATTGCCAAAATGTTTTATTACATGCTAGAGCTAGTCCATAAATTCTTCCTGTAAAAAGGAAGAGCTGAATCTTGGAAAATAAAGAGATTTTCGTTATTTCATGTTATCTATTCTGAAAGCATTAATAATTTAAGAAGTAATAATCTAGAATGAAAAAAGCCCTACATAGACAGGAAGGTAGTACATGTGTGTGTGTGTGTGTGTGTGTGTGTATTGATGGTTTGCTTGCAAATATTAAAATACGATTTTGTTTTTACTACCTTAGCTAAGAAAACTTTTCTTGGACAAAATAAATCCTTTTGGGGGCCTCTAGAACTGGTAGAAAAACTTGTTCCAGAAGCTGGAGAGATAACAGCCAGTGTCAAAGATCTTCCGGGACTTAAGTAAGTTTAAGGTTGAATTCTGTTTGTCCAGTAAAACAGTTTCCTTGAAGAGTGAGCCTAAAAATGATGATGCTCATAATAACTTTTATAAGAATCCGAAATGCATAATTTGTTATGAATTGGCACTGTTATAAGAGAACTGATAATGTAGATTAAGTGTACCCATGAAAAAATTATTATTAATCTGAGAGGTTGTCTTTATGTTAAAATACAAACAGTTCCTTTTTTTTTTTTTTTTAATACTGTGGGAATCATTTATGAGTCAAGAAATTATATGTAGGGAGGTGGCCAAAAAAAAAATTGTGTTCAGTGGAATTTGAGAGCCAAGATTAAAACAGTGTCAGGTGAGCTACAAAAGCAGATACCCCGGAACCTGCCTCAGAACTTGCAAAAGTTTAGTGATATCTTACCAAATAAGTAGATTTAAGTTAAATCAGGTTAAAGCCTAATAGCATCTGCCTTGTTAGTACTTGGGTATTTCCATGATTCACATTAAATTTATGATGATTTGCCTAACATTAATCTGATGCAAATTTTAGTTGGGCATCCCAGAGATCTTGGCTTCAAATGGCGGTCTCATTCAGTAAATAATTTTTAATTTTTTGCAAGAGTTTTAGTCCCAAACACACCTCTTGGGTTCCACACAGAATCCCTCGAGTAGGAATGTCTTGGGAGAGGTCGTGAGTAGCATGTTACAGTGGGGGATCATTAGCAAGAGTAAGGCAGTTTATCACTAAGGCCCTCTTCTGTTACTTTTAATTGTTTGTTTTCTGTGTTTTTGTAGGACACCAGTAGGCAGAGGAAGAGCCTGGCTTCGTTTGGCATTAATGCAAAAGAAACTTTCAGAATATATGAAAGCTTTGATCAATAAGAAGGAACTTCTTAGGTATGAATTTTTCTTAAATTTTGTTCTTTTTGTGCCATGCTCTACATCATATGAAGTCAGAGCATATAAATTGTAGATCAGAAACAGGTAGATCAGACATTTTCACGTAGTTCAGGTAATACCTTCCCCCCCCACACACATACTCAGTTGTAGTTATTTTTATATTACGTGTGTTCAGTCTGCATCTGTGGACCTATCAGTAGATGGTCCTTTGCTGGGCAGGCCAAAATTTAATACCTCCAGAGAGTAGGAATGACCCTTAACATGTTACTATAAATCCAGAAGACAAGAAATTAACACAGAATGTTAATATAGTATGCAAAATATTTCCTGATGGATCATGATACAAATGAGTATAAGAAACAGTGTATCTTTTAGAAGAAAATGTAGATAAGCAAAAACTTCTTAAAGGGGGTACAAGAAGTGCTATGCATAAAGGGGTAAATTGGTCTACAATTAACACTAAGAACAAAAGGCATCCCACATGGAATAAAAGGAGATATTTGTAGCATGTACTACATATATTCTACAAATGATGCCTATTCAGAGTACTTAAAGAACTCTTCAGTACAATAAGAAAAAGGCAGCCAAACAGTAAATAGATAAAGGAATAGGTTTCTTTTTACAAAAGAAACAGAAATGGCCAAGAAATATATAAAGGTGCATATAAAACTTCAGGAGCCATCACACAAATGCAAATTAAGATGCCAGTGTTATACCTATGCTTCCCCTTCCTACCATCAAATTGCTTAAAATTATATAGACAATACCAAGTGTTTGTGAAGCTTTGAAGTAACTTTAATGTTCTGCTAATGATTGATAGAGAAGCTATCAAATAAAACTTGATCAAAACATACTTTCTGACCCGTATTCTACTTGTGTGACAGAAGACGTGAACAAGATTGTTGGTAGCTGTTATAATGTTTGTGATAGATTCTATTGTTTATTCACAGTATATAGCTAAGTAAATATTGACCCATTCATATGGTATCAATGCGATACCATCTAGCAACCATACACAGCAATATTGATTAATTTCACAGATATAATGTTGGACAAAAGAAACCAGGCATGAAAAATTCATTGTGTATTATGCCATTTAACAGTCAGAAATATGCAAAATTCATCTTTCATGATAGAAGTCAGGAAATGTGCTACCACTGGTAGGGTAGGGGGAGTAAATAGACAGAAGGACACAGAAGGTGACTATGTCTGATACTGTTTCTTAGGCACTGAGTGTTGAGTTTGTTCTCCTTATGAAAATGCATTTGTATGATTTGTTTACTTTCTTACAAATACTTTGTTATTTGCCAAAAGAAATTCAAATATAACAGATTGCTTCTAAGAACAACTAAGAATTTAAAGTGATGGCAAAATTATGCAAGAACCTAGTTTTTACAAGAATTGCATCGTACATCATAGTATGGAGCAATATCTTAATGCTGCAGTAGCTGTATGTGCTATTGGTTGCTGTTTTCTGGCCTAAGAAAATAAATCAGGAGAAAGAAATAGGGACCATTCAGGGGGACTTTATATCTATAGAAGGAAGGCTCAACTTTCCAAGGATCAAGCCTTTCAATGGCATAAGGTCTAGTGTTCAAATTGTTAATGACCATAGACAAGTGTCATTCTTCAAATTGTGTGATTCAAATCAGCATCTGAAAAATTAGCTTCTTATCTAGCAGAGCACCAGAGTAAATGTGTTTAGTCTTTTGAACTGGCCAAAATGGTTCTTTTTTAACTGTTAGCCACTTCCCCCAGCACAGTATTTTATATATAGCTTCACTCACTTCAACCCAGCAATTTCACTTCTATATTAGTAACAAATCTAACAAAATGCACGTATATACCAAAGCCAGGTGTTCAGAGAAGCACTGTAGCTTGCACGTGGATCCCATGTGGTATGTTCCTACCTCAGGGTACCATCCAGCAATGAAGATGAATGCACTTCCATGGCATACAACAGTATATATGACTGTCACACATAAAATATTGCATGGCCTAAACCAACACTAAAAGTAGGCACTATATGGTTTATGGAAGAATAAACTGTTTATTCCAATTGTACTCAGTTTCCTTCACAGGTTACCAAAGATCAAAAATGGCATGTGATCAGTTATTGAAAAGTAAATAATTTTCAGGGTATTTATAAACTGTTCTTGAGCTGTTTTACCATTTTTTAATATTAGAATGAAAAAAAGGAAGGACTCCATGAGTTATTACCAGTGATTGAGGTTGACCATGTACAGTCGTAGGTGACTTTTAAAAGTGAATAACTTTCAATAATATTTTAATCATGGTTGAAAATGAATATTTCAAATCAATGGATATTCAATATAATTTGGCTCATCATAGAGCACAAATTAGTTAACTGTGACTTCAAGTACTGAATAATTCAAGTACTCTGCCTTTAGTTTTTTCTTTGAGTCTGTTATGGCTGAAAATGTCTTAGAAATTAAAAAGCAAAAAATATTTTTGTGTATCATAATTAGATGTTGTAGTGAAGCAATATTTAATCATCTGTGTGTCTTAAAATATTTCTCTATTTGTAATTAAAAGACTTTCCTTTTGCCTTTTTGTTTTTAAATTATTTTAGCCAGTTATGTCAGCCCTGCAGGATTTTATATAAAGCCAAGAAGAGTTTACTATTTATAGGAGAGTAGTTAAGGAAAAGAAAGTTTTGTTAAGTAAGTAATACTATGTCTATTTAGTGGTATGTTAAAAAAACTAGTGTAAACGAAGCTGCACAAAACTGTTTCTTTTGAAATAGAAAGATACAGTGTTGTTAAATTTTTAAAAAATCATGCCAGTTTAACAGTATAACACTTTTTGGTATCCTTCAAAAATGTGTGCATATCTCCACAAATAATCAGAAAGGTTTATACATCAACTTCCTAACAACTCACTAGTTTGTAGAATTGTAAGATTCTTATAAGGAGTCAAAATTAATATAATATATATATATAATGCAACAGATCATATTTGCAAAATGTTTATTCATGTCAAAGGAATGTGGTAGCTAAACAGAATTAAAATAAGAAAAAAGGCAAAATTTGAGAAACAAGTTTTTTTAAAGATGTATGAAAGGAATTATCCCATAGTATATCATAAATACAAAAAAATGTGAGTAAAGCATAAATAATCACTTAAGTAAAAATCCCCCTCTAATTACATTTCTTTCAGGTACCTATTTGGTCTATTCATGTGCCTATAGTCTAAAATATTTATTCAATACCTTTATTTATCCAAGTCATCCTTGGTTTACTTTTTTACTGTTATCATAGCTGGTTATATGCAACCATGGAGCAAACATTTTTGTCCTTGTCTCATGATTGCATCATTGTATTCATGAAGTTTTATTAAAATAGAGTATTTTCGTGAATTCCTTTTACAGTGAATTCTATGAACCCAATGCCCTCATGATGGAAGAAGAAGGTGCTATAATTGCTGGTCTGTTGGTGGGTCTGAATGTCATTGATGCCAATTTCTGTATGAAAGGAGAAGATTTAGACTCTCAGGTATGAGAAGGACGCACAGTTAGTTACTGTCACTCTGAGTTTTGTTATATCTGAATTTAGACTGATCAGATTTTACCAATCAAATTAGGGGAATTCTGTGGATCATAGATGAGATTTCCTTTAATTACAATACAATGTGAACATAAAAATTATTTTTCCTTTCAAGTTGGATCATTTATGCCTTATGAATGTTTTTCAAATTCTTTTTTTTTTCTTAGATTTATTTATTTTCTTATGCATATAAGAAATGGGGTGTAGGCCAAGGTGCAGGGGATGAGAAGATTCACCAGAGACAGAACGGTGAGAAAAACAGGCAGATCCACCAAAACACTTTGCTGAGGGGAGCAGCCAGCTAGACAGGAGAGGTCAGCCGTGCCATGTGGGTCAGTTCCCTAGCCTGGGATCAATCTCATGCTGCATTGGCTGGCAATAGCTTAATAGTCCTGAGACTTTAACCCCTGCACCACCAAGGAGAAACTGTTTTTCCAATTCTTGACTTAGATCCTGTTAAAAATATTTGTACAAACAACACACACACACACACAACACACACACATACACACACATGACTTAAATAGTAAACCCAGTGAGGCATGGTAGTTAATGACGACATAACTGAAGCCAAATTTTTCAGACTCAATTCTGACTTCTTCATTTTCTAAGTGAATATTTTATAGTTACTTATTTTATTGAAGTTTCAGATTCCTTTTTGTAATTCAGGTTAATTAAAGAGTACCCTTGTCTATTTCACAGGGTTATTGTGAGAGGTAAAGGAGTTAGTATTTACAGTGCACTCTGAATACATGTCAGTGAAGAAAGCTGATACATCATTCACTATGGCTACTTCTTACCCCTTATGTGTGAAATGTAATGAATTTCTGTTACATTTTATTCTGAGAAAATGGAAAAGGAAGTGTAAGAGTTTGATCTATATTTTCCAAAAGAAGTAACCTGAAAATAAAATTGAAATTAGACATATGTATTAATGAGTGTTTGGAAGAACAATACCAGATGTTACAGTGGTCATCTTTGGGCAGTTGGGATGATGGTATTTGTTTTACTTCCTTCTGTGATATCTGTATCTTCTGAAGCTTTTATAATAAATGTGCTTTATGTTTTATAATTTTTTTAATGTATTCTCAAAATGACTAGGGACTCAGTAGCAGATACCTGAAATAAGCATAAAAGAAACTTTAAATCTTAAAAGTAGATGAGATTTTTTTCTGTTGGCTTTCTTAGTCATGATCTGGTCAAGACTAAGTTCTATTGGCTTAGTCTTGATTTTTTAGTTACATATAGCCCTTGTTAATTCCTAATTATAATAATAACACACTAAATTTTCATCAGAAATGTCTATTAACTCCATGATTATATTCCTATTTTGTGTTAGGCATTGTGTTATGCCTTTGGAAATACATCTAATTTTATACTAAATTCTATAAATTCTTTTTGTAGGTTGGAGTTATAGATTTTTCGATGTATCTGAAGGATGGGAACAGCAGTAAAGGTAGTGAAGGGTATGTACACAGAAAATTAGGTGGTTTCTTACAGTATTTAAAGTTTACAACTACTGCTTTAACCTATTTGCTGAATTTCTGCTGGTATAGCTTTTAATATGACTTCTATGCTCTGAAAAGGATTTTAGTTAAGTAATTTTCCTGCTCTTGGGATTGTGGCAAACAAATTAAACATATTTGTAAAAGAAATCCAATGCTTCATCTCTAAGTAGTATTTGAAACATGGTATTCTTTTTT